GAGAAGCAGTGACACCAGAGATGGAGGCAGAGATGGGGACATGGAGCGAGGGAGCGGCTGAGGACTCTAGAGTCATGGGAAGAGAGGGACTAAGAGCTGGTGGCCAGGAGGCAGACTTGCAGAATGTGCCCTTTGGAGGTGTAAATTATTATATATGCCTGACTGTTTAAAAAAAAAAAGCTAAAATGAATAGAGAAATACTGTTAATTGATGGTACATGGAGGGGATTATAATCATTGTAATAAAACAAGGTATATGATTTGTTGAATGTAAAACTGATGATCTGCCCTGTAAATTTTTACTAAATCCACAATACAAACCTTTAAAAAAAGAGGTGATGGGACACTTTTTACCTACTTTCCAATTCTCCTGAACTGGTCCTAGAAAACGAATAAAATGAAAAGGGAGGCAAAGGGAAACTGAAGTGAGGGACATAGAATGTTTCTGTTGTTAAGTGCTGTTAAGTTGGTTCCAACTCATAGTGGTTCTGTTTGCTGTTGTTGTTAAGTGCCATCGAGTCGATTCCGACCCATAGCGACCCTGTATAGGGTTTCCAAGGAGAAGCTAGTGAGCTTGAACCGCTGACCTTGCAGTTCAAACGACTTCACAGTCTGACTCATTAGCCCACAGCGCCACACCAGGATTCTGTATAGGGTCTGCAAATTGCTGAGTTTGTAAATCTCTACAAGAGTTGAAAGCCTCATCTTTCTCCCACTGAGCGGCTGGTGGGCTCAAACTCCCGGCCCTATAGAGCCACTGCACTCCCTGAATATAGGATTGTTGTTGATAAGTACCATCGAGTCGATTCTGACTCATAGTAACCCTACATAGGGTTTCCAAGGTGCAGCTTGTAAGTTTGAACTGCTGACCTGTGGTTCACAGCCCAGTGCTGATCCTCCAGTGGATGGTTGTGGTTATGTGTCGTGGAGTCAATTCCAACTCATAGTGACTCTGTATAGGATTTCTGAGTTTGTAAATCTTTACAGGAGCAGAAAGCCTCATCTTTCTCCCACAGAATAACTGGTAGTTTCGAGCTACTAACCTTGAGGTTAGCGGCCCAACTTGTAACCACTACATTACCAGAGCTCCTTGGATATCCCACCTCAAATAACAGCCCCTTTAGTTTCTAGATATATGCTATAAGCTGGCCTGAATACCATACACATACATGAACCTCAAGTCAAGGTCCTTGGGTTATCCAAAGACTGCTCTCCATCTGACCCTGTTGACAGTGTCTCAGAGCAGAGGACTCTGCTGCCCATACCCTGATGTCTGCCACACCCAGAGTAGGTAAGAGGAAGAACATCAATGCCAAAAAGTAAGCAGGTTTCTGTTACCAAACTTCCCTATTGCTGTCCACAGGGAAATGTACCTCTGCAGCCGAGTGCCCGTATGTGCATGTCTGAGAAGAATGGGGTGCAAGTTCTGGAAATCCATGATGTCAGCCAAGATGATGTGGGAGTGTATACATGCATGGTGGCAAACGGGTCAGGGAAGGCTTCCATGTCTGCTGACCTTTCCATCCAAGGTATTGTCTGGGGGAGGAGTAGTGCAGCGTAAGTCCTCCCTGGTATCTGAATCCTCATTCCTTATGCATACATGTGTATACACATTGCATGCTGACACATCTACATACTCCCCAGGGTGAGGTCTTTAACCAGAAGAAAGGGGAGTGGTGCAGGCAGCCCAGTCACAGCCACAGAAGAAGACTGTAAGAGTCAGGTTGACACCTTCCCTTCTAATATTGTCATTGCAGTTTGGAAAGATGGACTTCACTACAAATCTAACCTACTTAAAACTTGCTCACCATCTAGTCTGTCCTTCCAGTCAGTGTTAACTTAACTCTTTCAACCCTCAGATCCCCATTTTCCTTCTCACACAGACTGAACATTTCAGCAGCACCTTTGATCCCTGCCTCTTGAATGCCGTTAGTCAACAGCCCCTGTCAGTTTCTTCACTTGAAGTCTCTTTGAATCAGTCTCCTCCTTTCCATTCCCCTCAATTTCTCCAAGTCCAATCTGGGGAAGCTGGACATGTGGATGGGAAGATGGGGACTGACATCACTTCACTGGAGCAGAAAGCTTGGCTAAGCGGGAATTTGGGGATCCAGAAAGGAGCTGATCTTCCCTCTCCCTTTCTTAACCGTTCTTCTGTGATGTTTCTCTTGTGTCTCCTTTTGTTTTTAAAAATGATTTCTCCTTGCTCTCTTTACTTTTCTTTTTCTTTTTGCCTATTTTTCATAACCCACAGAAATAAATTTATTTTACATTGCAACCAGGAGCATACATATTATATAAGCATATTTAATAAATGAGTTTCATAAAACAATATGTACTGTGTACAGCACTTAGTAAGTATTCTAAACCATTAAGAAAAAAATCTTAGTCCTGATCAATTTGCATCACAACCCACTACTGGAAGGGCCTGCTGTTGAATGTCTAACACAGAAGGCTTATCACTCTCTCTTCACTTGCTTTAAAAAAAAAAAAACAAACTAAACCAGTTGCCGTTGATTCAGTTCCAACTCATGACGACCCCATGTGTGTCAAGGTAGAACTGTGCTTCATGGTATTTCCAATTTCAGAAATAGATCTTTAGACCTTTCTCCCAAGGCATCTCTGGGTGACCTTGAACCCAGTCTTATGGTTAGCAGCTGAGCACATTTACCATTTTCATCATTCAGGACCCCAATGTTACCCTAGGATAGAATTAAAACTGTATAGTTCAGAAGTGCTGTTGTTGTTGTTAGGTGCCATCCAGTTGATTCCAACTCATAGTGATCCTATATAGTATTTCTGAGGCTGTAAATCTTTGTGGGAGCAGAAAACCACATCTTTCTCCCACAGAGTGGCTGGTGGGCTCAAACCGCTGACCTTGTGGTTCGCAGTGCAGTGCTTATCCTATGGAGCCACAGCACTCCGTCAGAACTGCTTAATGACAAAATGATGAAGCGTCTTGGATTTGCTTGAAAATATTCTAGAAAAAAAATAGTAGATCAAAACAAAGAGAATCAATATAATGACAAAATAATGTTGATGTTGCCTTAATCTGACTTGTATCTTTTGGCATTTGTTATATCCCATTCTCGCTGGTGCTGTGGGTTAATGTACTAGATTGCAAAGTCGGTTTGAACCACAAGGTCAACAGTTCAAGCTCATCAGTCGCTCCTCGAAAACCCTATGTAGGTTGCTATGGGTCAGAACCAACTCGATGGTACTTAACAATACCAACATTCTCTCCTAGTCCATATTTTGAAATTTTCCATGATAAAAATCATTTAAAGAATGTGACAGAAAAAAAATATATTCTTGTACATTTTTAATTTGAAGAACTGAATGAAATGAAACTTTCTTTGTACATTTTTTAAAGCAGGTATTTGTCAAAACTGATCACTTCGATGGGCAGGGGTGTGTTTTTATGGGACATGTGTTTGGGCTTGAAATTTTCCAGATCTTATTTTTTTGTGTCCCAGGTTGGATGTTGTTTCCTTCTGTAAGCAAGTGAACAGGGACAGGCCCCAAACCTTCAGGATGTAGAAGTTCTGGTTTGAGTGTTTTTGTTTTTTCCCCCTGATTTAGGGCAGGTAAAGGCAGGGTAATACTCTAAATACCTAACAACAAGTCCTCATCCAGTTTGCCCCAGGCTGCAAGGAGTTTATCAGATTAACCACACTAGTTAAGGACTAGGGGAGCCACATTGAGCCATCTGTTAATGGGGAAATGGTTGGGAAATGAAAACTCCACAGTAAACTAAAGGGATTGTTGTTTAATCATTTCTCCCTCTTGGTGTATCATATATTCCATTAACACTCTTTCTGCTCTTCATCCTTTTTTCCCCAGGTCTGGACAACACCAATAGGTATGTCAAACCTTATGTTTCCCATCCTGAAATGCCCTGCAAGGAAAAATGGGGATTGCTATGGAGAAACACCCTAACTTCCTCTTGACTGGGTAGAAGAACTGACCGTCTGGGTGGCACTTTCATTTGGTTGGCTTGTTTTGTTCTCCTATATGTCCTACGGGTTTCATATCAGCATGGAGACTCTCAGAGACTGCAGATTACATCCAATGTTGTGTTTCACAGTGTCTGTTTGGTAATTTCACTAGCTAGTCATCACTCAGGAAGACCCTCTGCTCCAAAAAGGGTACCTTACACATTTCAGGACATACTGCATGCATGTATTCATTCATTCTGCAAATATTTTGTCATTTCATTGCCCATGTGTGTGGCTCAGTACAAGTACTAAACCTTGGCTATACAAGGGTGAGCACACAGGCTAGTGTAGAGAAGAGTTTTAAGCCGAGTCATGTGAGTGTATACTTAGAAATTGTGCTACGACTATGAAGGAGACTACAGGGCAGCATTCATTTATACTACAGTGACAGGGAAACCCTTTCTGAACACTTGATATTTGAGCTCAGAACTACCAAGTAATTGTAATTAAGTGAAAAAAATAACCTCAGGGACTTAGTGTTCCAGAGGGAATGTTTTTATTGTTTTGTCATTGTGTTCTTTTGAGTGGATTTCTAACTCATAGTGACCCTATGTGGTAGAGTGGAATGTCCCACAGGGTTTTCTAGGTTGCAGTCTTCCTAGGAGCAGATCACCAGATCTTTCTCCGGCAGAGATGCTGGGTGGGTTTGAAATGCCAACCTTTTGGTTAGCAGCCAAGCACTTAACCATTTGCACAACCAGGGTTCCTTTAAGAGGGAATAGCGAGTATGAAAGCCCTGAGATGAGAAGTAGACTTGTGAGAAAGCCCCCCATAAATGCCTGTGTAGCTACAGCTTGGTGTGCCACAGTATCTGATGAGGTTCAAGGGGCGGGCGTCCTTGTTCTTGAGAAGCTCAGTTTTATTCTTAATTTAATGGAAAAGCTGCTGGAGAGTTCTTAAGTTTGCAATGATATAATTCAATTTATGCTTTAAGATTGACTGTGATCACTGTGTGGAAAATGGATTAAAGGGCCAGAGTGGATGAGGTGAAACCAGTTGGGTAGTTTGGATTAGGGTAACCCCAGTGGAAATGAGGGAAAAGGGCTGGCTTAAGGTAAAACAGGGCTCTGGATTGGGGGACAGGGAAGTGTCATGAATAGCTGCCTATTTTCTAGCTTAGGAAACTGCACAAGAAAGAAAGCTGCTCTTCTTCTCTCTTGCTTAGTGAGCTTTTGTGACCCCTGGAGGCTGCTATGGTGCTGAGTAATGTTTGTGAGTAACTAGATGGTCATTCTGTTCTCTTCCCGCTACTCTCCCGTCCTCCACCATCACCACCATCAAACAGGTCATTTGTGAGAGGTACACAGGCTGCCAATGCAGACATCAGGAGGGAGGTGACCAATGGCATCGTGAAGGAGCCAAAACTAGACAACCTGGAGACTGCATCCGGAAGTAAGAACTGCTCCAGTGCCCAGAGAGGTGCCTCCCCAGCCTGGGCCACCTACAGCCAGCCTCAGACCCTGGGGAAAGCCAAGCTGGAGTCGTTCTGGGACTCACCCAATAAGACTCTAAAGACCGCCGTTCTTCAGAAGACTTCCAGCACCATCACCCTGCAGGCTACGAAAGCCCAACCTGAGCAGAGAGCACCAGCCTCAGAGGGCCTCTCACCCTCCAGAGAAGAGAGGAAGAGGCCAGCGGCACCCACTCCAGCCACCCTCCACACAAGGCCATCTGGCCTCCAAAGCCAAGAAGTTGTGAGCAAGGTTGCTGCCAGGAAACTCCCCATGGAGAACTGGAGGGATTCAACTGCTCCCAAATTTGAGAGCAAGCCCCAAAGCCAGGAAGTCAGTGAGGATCAAACAGTCAAGTTCAGATGTAACGGTGAGTGAAGCTATGTAGGATCGCTGGTCTCCAAAATGCAGCCATTGGTATTTACTCTCCTCTTTCAGTACATAGCTAATTCTGAGCCTCCAATATCCCACCCAAGATGCCACCGTGTAGGGGTCTTGCCCTTGGAAAAGACTCAGCCTAGTAATGCCCCTTATTCCAGAGAAGCATCAGCACATTATTTGCTGCTGAATAGAACATTGGCCCTGTGCCCCAATTTCTCCCACCATCACTGCCACCATCCTCCAAGAACAAGGAGGAAGGATTCTTCTTTCCTTCCTTCTCCTGGCTTTGGCTGACCTAGAGACCTAACTTGTTCTTGTATTCCTCCTCCCCAAGGCCCCTGCCTGTGTCATGACATTCACGTCTTTGGAGGGTTGAGGGGCTAAGAACCCTCCAAAAGATCCAGGCTGAGTTCTTCCCTCCACTTCAAGTCCTCCCCACCCACAGCACAGTGAGCTCTCCAGGGATCTCATGACCTTCATCTGGACCTGTAGTTTCAGGGGTCCCAAAGCCCAAAGTCGCCTGGTTCCTGGAAGGCGTCCCTGTGAGGATACGAGAAGGCGCCATTGAGGTCTATGAAGATGCTGACTCTCATTATCTCTGTCTGCTGAGTGTCCGCACAAGAGACAGTGGGAACTACAGCTGCACAGCATCCAATGTCCGAGGCCAGGTGTCCTGTAGCTGGACCCTCCTGGTGAAAAGTGAGTATACTCCTCCAGGTCACCCTGGCTTCTGTGTGGGAGAACCATTCATGGGGTGCTTCCCACATTGCAGACATTTCATCTGCTACAGCTCCTTGTCAAGGAGATACAACCCTACCAAGCATCCCCCTAGCCACATGCCAAGGCTAAATATGTTGCTCCTGGCCAGTGGTTCTTAGTCAGTAGTTCACTTTAGGATCACCCCAAAATAAACATATCCAGGACCGCTCCCAAGCCAGCTTACAGCTACCTTTTTTAGGTTCCTCAGCTGTCAGTGAAGTACCAGGGCTTACTTTTGTAACCACAGTGAACCAAGCTTTCCCTAAATGTATCTGGTTTACAGTAATGTGAGAAGATGTGTGTTGTTCGTTTCCTAAAACTGCCATAACCAATTACCACCAAATGGGAGGCTTAAGACAGCAGAAATTTATTTTCTTACAGTTCTAGAGACTAAAAGTCCAAACTCAGGGTACCGGCAGGGCCATGTTCTTTCTGAAGGAGCCTTTCGTATCTCTTTCAGCCTCTGGTGGCTCTTGGCATTCCTTGCCTTGTGGCAGCATAACCCCAATCCGTGTCTCCTTCATCATACGGCCATCTTCTCTTTGTGTCTGTCTGTTTTATTTTTATGAATATCACTTCTTCAAAAGAAGACTCTACTTCCATATGACCTCATGTTAACTAATCACATCTGCAAAGACACTATTTCCAAATAAGCTCATGTTCCTAACCTAGAGGTTAGGACTTGAGCATATTTTTTCAGAAAACAGAAATCAACCCATAACAATGTGTACTCCCATATATTTTATGCTTATTGTAATTCTGTTTATATGTGTTCGTTGTAGGAAATTTAGACAAAATATACTCCTATGACTCAGAAATAAATAGTTTGGTTTTTAAACAAAATTGGCACTGTGCTATTTGTACTGTTCTCTAGCCTAATTTGCTCATGTAACATAAACATCTTTTTATATTTTTGAATATACTTTGAAAAAATTTAGACATGGATGTGAGGTCATACAATTGGGAATACATTAGGTAGTACCACTGAGGATAGAGCCAGCAAATTATAGAATGTTTGAAACTCTATGGCCAAAAGCCTTCACCTATTTTTTTAAAATAGCAAAAAAATAAATAAATAAAATTTTAAAAGGGGAAGCACCCTATTGGAATCTTAGATTAAAAAAAAAACAACATGTAAACTATATCAACAAAACAAAACTGTAATATAAGGACCTTGCTTAGATCCTGATTAAAACAACTGTAAGAAATTGTAAGCACATAAGGCAATTTTGAATATGAGTACAATAGTCAGTTCACAAGTCTGTGAGTCCAAACCTCACCAACAAGGCCAGGACTCTGTGTCTGAGCAATACATAGATAAGTAATATTGTGTCTAGCAAAGGTTAATGATATACTCAAAAAGCGTATTTTCTGCTAAGGCTTCCATCATCTTTGAATTTATCTAAATCTTATAAAATAGTTATTCCAACGTATTCAGATGTCGGGGTAATTCATCTCAGGTGGACGCCATCTTTTATTTTCTATCGATAGTGAGTATATTGAAATAGGGAGTCCTGGTGTAGCGCTGTAGGATAAACACTGGACTGCAAGCCTCCAAGGTTGGCAGTTCAAACCCACCAACCACGCCTTGGAAACCCTATACAGGATCACTATGGGTCAGAACTGACTCAATGGCACTTAACAAAGACAATACTGAGAGATAACGCACATAAAGTAAAACTCATCAAGTATATTCTTCAGTAGCTTTTAATTTATTCACAAGGTTGTGCAAGCACCACCACTATCCAATTTTATAACATTTCCATCCCAGTCACTCCCTACCCCATCATCATGTGTCCTCCCCACTCAAACCCCAGACAACCACTAGTCTACTTCCTTTCTCTATGGCTATAAATGAAATCATGTAATATGCATTTGACTTTTTGTACTTAGCATAATGTTTTCAAGGTTCATCCATGTTGTATCAGTACTTCATCCCTTTTTATGGCTGAATGATATTCTAATGCAATATACTTTGTTTATTCATCCATAAGTTGATGGACATTTCTGTTATTTCCACTATTTGGAATTTCTGTGAATAATACTGTTATGAACATTCATGTGCAAGTTGTTGTGTGGAGGTTTATTTTCAGTTCTGAGTAGATATCTAACAGTGGAATTGTTGGTTTCTATGGAGTCCTGTAGGATAAGCACTGGACTACTAACTGCAAGTTCGGCAGTTGAAGCCCACCAGCTGCTCTTCAGAAACCCTATACAGGGTTGGGTTGCTATGAGTCAGAACCAGCTCAACAGCACTTAACAACAACAACATGGTACCTCTGTGTTTAACATTTTGAAGAACTACCAAACTGTTTTCCAAAGTGACTGCACTGTTTTAACACAACATTTGCATTATCTTCTGGATTCAAAGTAATATCTAGTGCTCTGTCATTTCAGCTTGGAAGATTCTGGTATTTTTTGGAGGGCAGTTCTACGATCAGAAAATTCTGGGTTTTGTTTTCTGGAATATCTTAATTTTTCCTGCAACTTAGAATGATAAATTTGCTGAATATAAACTTCTTGAGTTGATGGTCTTCCATTCAGCATTTTAAATATGTCATCCCATTATCTTCTGTCCTGTTGTGGCACTGTAGGCTAATCACTGGACTGCTAATCACAAGGTCGGCAGTTCAAACCCACCAGCCTATTCCTCAACAACAATTGCCTTCCATACTCCATGGTTTCTGATAAGAAGTTACCTGTAAATCTTAATGGTCATTCCTTGTACATGATGGGTTGCTTCTCTCTTGTTGCTCCTGAGATTCTCTGTCTGAAAATGTGACTATGAGGCATCTAGGTGTGGATCTCTTTGAGTTTATTCTTCTTGGACTTCAATGCGTTTCTGAACATGCAGATTATTTTTTATCAAATATGGGATGTTTCAGCCACTATTTCTTCAAGTATTTTGTATGCTGTTTCCTCGTTTTACTCTCCTTCTGAAACTTAGAGTATGCATATGCTGATACACTTAATGGTGTCCCACATTACTCTGAGGATCTGTTCATTTTTCTTTGTTTTTATATTCTCTCTCTTCCTCAGACTTGTTGTTAAGTGCCATCAAGCCAGTGCTGACTCATGGTGACCCTATGCACAACAGAATGAAACACTACCTGGTCCTGCGCCAACCTCTTTTTTTTTTTCTTTCTTTCTCTTTTTCTTCATATGATCCAGCTGCTTGAATTGTTTGTTCAGCATACAGATTGCCCTGGTGCATACCTTTCCTAATTTTAAACCATTCCGTGTTCCCCTGTTCTGTTTAGACATCTGCCTCCTGGTCTATAGCAATTGACCTATCTTTCAATCCATTGATTCTTTCTCCTGACGATTCAAATCTGTGGTTAACCCCCTGTAGTAAAGTGTTCTTTTTAGTCATTATACTTTACAATATCAGAATTTATATCTGTTTTTTTCAAAAATAATTTCTATATTTTTATTGATGTTCTCTATTTTATGAGACATCATTCTCATACTTTAACTCTTAAGACATTATTTTATTTTCCTTGATTTTTAGAACATACTTATAATAACAGATGTAAAGTCTTGTCTAGTAAATCCAGTGTCTGGGTTTCTCAGGAGCAGTGTTATTGACAGCTTTTTTCCTGTGTATGAATCGTATGTCTCTATTACTTTTAATGTTTTATTTATTTATTTAAGTATTTATTGTGAATTGAATGAAAGACACCATCTAACAGCCAAGATCAGCAGGTTTACATTCAACAAGCCATACACTTTGTTTCATCTCAATGATTGCAATCCCCTCCATGCAACAATAGTCATCCTACTTCCTCCCTGTGGTTACCCATGTACAAATACCCCTTTCAAGCTCTTAACACTCTTCCTTCCATACCCATTCAGCCTGTGTCGCAGAACAGTGTTCTTTCAAGGTTGTGTATGTATCACTATTTACTTCTGTCCCTTTTAGCTTTTACACACCTCCCTGTATCTACATCAATCTTCATCATTCTTTTGCTGACCTCTCATTTCATATATATTGCTGTTCCCCTTCTTGTAGGCATAGACAGTTCCCTGTCATCTGCATTAACATATGTTACCGTCTACCCTACTAAGTTGTGCCTGACCCAAGCCATGGTATTTTCAATAACCTCATATGCGTGCGAAAGCTGGACAGCGAATAAGGAAGACTGTAGAAGAATTGTTGCTTTTGAGTTATGGTGTTGGAGAAGAATATTGAAAGTGCATAGACTGCCAAAAGAACAAACAGATCTATGTTGGAAGAAGTGCAGCCAGAGTGCTCCTTGGAGGCCAGGATGGCCAAACTTTGTGTCTCATACTTTGGACATATTGTCAGGAGGGACCAGTCTCTGGAGAAGGATATCATGTTTGGTAAGGTGGAGGGTCAGAGAAAAAGAGGAAGCCCCCTGGTGAGATGGATTGGCCAAGTGGCAGCATCGATGGACTCAAGCGTGGCAACAGTAGTGAGGTTGGCCCAGGATTGGGCAGTGTTTCATTCTGTTGTGCATAAGGTCACTATGAGTCAGTACCGACTCGATGGCATCTAAAAACAACAACAACCCTTTAGCCAGTAAATTACTCTCCCTTCCCTCCCAACTTGGTAGCATCAAAGAATATGTCTTTGAGTATGTAAACCTTTTTTAAAAAAAACTTTTTATTGTGAATTGAGTGAAGGTTTACAGGCAAGAGCATCAGCTTTACATTCAACAAATCATATACTTTGTTTCATCTCAATGATTACATTCCCCTGCATGCAACAACAGTTATCCTACTACTATCCTATCCCTCCCTTTGTTTCCTATTTGCATTCTACCCACCTTCTCACACCTTCTCAACTTTGTCCTTAGGAAAATATTGCCCTTTTGATTTTGAATGACTGGCCATTCCATGGTGAGCAAATCTTACTAGTGTTTTTGTCCCTTGTGTCCCCTATAAATGTATCTACTGCTTGATTGAAAATTAGGCCA